CACAGCTTGCTATTTTGTCTTTACCGGACATTTTAAAGCAGGGAAAAGAAAGATCGGTACATCCCGAAGCCTTTCAGGCTCTTCTCGCTTCAATTTCCACTCTTTTATTTACTGAAGCCGAACCGTTTGTTTGCCTCTACAGGTGCAGCTGTGCTTCCTGAACGGGAATCACTATGACAGCGTTTATCCCATCAGCCGGATCAAGAACACTGCACTCTGCCAGTGTGAGTGTCTGTGATTTCATTTGTTTGTAAAACAAGGACACTGGAAAAGAGTTTAACCGATCCTGCAGATCCTCTCAGGGAGGATAATCATCACTGAAGAGAAGTCTCAGTGAATTCATAACAAACAGATGAGAACATCAATCAAAATGCGGGCACTCAACAGAGAAAATGAGACCACATTATAAACCCAACACCACATAGTCAGGGTAAGGCTGCGGCACTCCGAGGAAACCCTTTCAGCTCAAATCTTCATAACACTTCCCTTAGTCAGTGTGCAAGAGGAGCAGCGTGAGTCACTAACCGCGCTGCACAAACTGGTTTTGTCTTAACTCTGCTAAAGGTGAACAATCACAGGAGAGCCTGGAAAGCCTCTGAGATTCATGCTGCTGTGTGTCCAGCGTTTAACACCGATGTCTCTGTTTGACATCTCTAACAGTAGCTGTCGTCTAATTACTGGCAGTTAATTTGATGTAACGTAAGCTTGTAGTGTTTCCTGTAGCGTAAATCTGGGTTTCTGAAGTCCAGCAACCCGACAAAACTGACACTTTGCAGCATAAACACAGAATTAAACTCAGTGTGTGAACAGCTCGCAGGTGTCTGCTGACTCAGAACGTTTTCTGTACTACAGACTTGATTCACTTCACTCACCCTGTCACAGACACACAGTCATGCGGCACTTTATCTAACATTACAACACAGTCAAAACGTGGGGGTTCAGGATACTTGGACCAAAGGAACAGATTGATCTTTCGATCTTCTGGTTGGTAGATGCTTTAGATGAGCCCTCGTATCACTTTCCCCCTTAAATCTTCACCTCGGGATCATCTATCAAACGTATTTGTTACCTCTGACGTGAAGGTCAAGTTTTTTATGTAGCGTTCTGTCTGTGTTGTAGGGGTGTAGAGTGGGGTCATGGCCCACATCCACCCAGCGTGTCTCACTGAGTAACAGCTCAAACATAGTTCAACATGGCAGCACGAAACTCCCTGGACGTCATTTGTGTGCGACAGAAACACAACACAGCAATGGAGGACATCAGGGTGATGGTACACCTGCTGCTAAAATCCACCTTGTTGCTGGACCACGATGTTGTGGTGCAGCCGTCTTCCTCATCGTCGGGTTTCAAAAATTCTCGTGAAGGCGTTACGCTCATGACTCGTATGGTGTTTTCACTTCTTGGCCAATCAGTGACGTTCCGTCTTTTGACGTCACATTTTCGGAGTGACTCGGCACATTTGAAACCCTGGCTGAGTAGGTACCAGATAATACCAGCTAATCGCCACATGGACCGAGCAGCAGGTATACCTACACCCCGATGCCCTCCATTGTTGTGTTTGCGTCGCGTACAAAGAGCTTGTGGGGCTTTCGGGCTGCCTTGCTATAACTGCTTCGCCTACATTGAGGTTTCGCTCAGTTGTAATAGAAAACAACTGAAACAAAGTAGAGTGAAGCCAAGTAGATGCCAGTGGAAAAGAGACTACAGGCTATTCTTCATATAGGCCCACAGCAGGGGCCTAATGCTTTGTTAAAAAGGTGGCAGTCAAAGTAGAGGCTCGCCCAACACGACAGTCTTTTATTATTATGTGATTGTTCATCATAATCAATCCATCCACTTAAATGCAGCCTACAAAGACAGTAGGGCTGCCACAAACGATTATTTTGATAGTCGACTAATCAGATCATGCATCCATTGGACGTACAGCGTACAGCTTAC